TTGCAGAAAGTAGAAAACGGCAGAAATCTGTGATGTGGGCTGTAAGAATACTCTGTGATTGCAGAAGGTTGAAAACATAATTGTTGTTCAAATTAACCTCTCAATGAATTTCCTTCTAATCCAACTCCCAACACTGTCATTGCAGTTCTCCCAGAGGACAGGACATGATGCTTCGCTGGGTCTTGTTCGCTTTGTTCTTTGGTATCTGTGCCAGTGCCGGAGAACAGAAGAGAAAAACACCAGCGTCTGAGTCCTTGTCGAGAGGTGGGTGATCCTGCTTTTGTCAGACATGCATAGTTGAGTTTATACGTCCCAAGAATTCAAAGTAAATTGAATTCACGACTGAGAGCTTGAATCTGTGTTACAAAACCAAAAATAAGTCAAGAAAGTTCAGTATTCTTGTCTTGTTCTGCAGGCTGGGGGAATGGTGTTACTTGGATAAAAAGTTATGAAGATGGACTGGCAAAGATGGCCAAAAGGTAAGAGTGTACACCTTGATAACAGAGTCTTTTATGGCATCCCTTATTATTATTTGCAGTCAGTCTGAGAGAGGGATGTATTTCATAATGAAAAGACTTTAAGGATGATGAGGGGAGCTGGAGTGAAAATCAAGAGCCACATCTGTTCTGTTACTTATGGAATACAGCACCATAAATGTCCTATAAAAGCCAAAACATGTATTTTGTCCATCATTCATCATTTAAAAGCATGCATATCAACCTCAATTTCCCTTGGCTAATATTGCACAAACTGCATTCACACCCATCATTGTGCTTATTGTGTTGAGGAATGTGTTGACTTGTTTCTCTGTGGTTTTACTCTCACAGTAAGAAGCCCCTGATGGTCATCCATCATAAGAAAGGCTGCCCGCACAGTGAAGGTACAGCAGTAACTTCATTTTTCACAGCTGAATAATATTAAATGTAAAACCATAGGCGAGCAAAAACAGCACTGTCCTTTTCACCCAGACTTGGGCTTGGCTTCATGGGGAACACAATGGGTGCGTTCCTTGATACCTGCCAAACAGGCTCTGACAAAAAGGTTGGAATTATATTCATAAATCACACAGCTGGTGTCCTGACAGTAAGCTGTATAGAGTTCTCTACTGTGGTTTTCTTAATACATAAACCTTACAGACCACCTACAGGGCAAAATCTGACTCTCATGTTTGACATTTGTTGTTTTTGAGGAAAAAAAAACTGAGTATTTTAGAGCTTACCTTGAATGCCAACAAGTGGATCCTGTGATTGTCAAGACAATTCTTGACTCTGATCAAATTCCAAGTTTAAGGACAACTTCAATAAGTTTAGTTTTATTGATTTATAACTGATTACTACACTATGTAATCGCAGCTAAGAACACAACACATGGATTTTCTGTTGGTCCAACCTACAAAACGTGTTCCTAACCTGTACATCAAGTCAAATGCATGGGCCATCATTTTGGATACAACCTTACTACTTGTTTAGGATTATCTGGAGTAATACTTCATTATTACTCTAATTTAAACTAAACATACACATTTCCACAGCTCTGAGGAAGGCTTTTAGCAGCGATAAGTCCATCCAGAAAATGGCCAAACAGGATTTCTTTATGATCAACTTGGTGGTAAGTACATCCATGTCTACGCAATGTAGAAATGAAGAAGTGCAGAAATGACCTATGCTTCAAGGAGGACTTATGTAAACATGTAACCCACTGCATTGAGAAGTTACTGGCTAAAGAGTTCTCACAGTGCAATTAAAATAAACCAAAAATCATTTGGTCAATTAATCCCAATAATGTGACAATACCAAAGATGATTGGTATGAAAAAGAAACCATCTGAAAAATACTTTACACATACTCTCATTGTACTAATAATTGAACAATTTCCTCGGTTTTCCTCTTTTACAGGAAGAGACTACGGACACAAATTTGGCCCCTGATGGCTATTATGTTCCCAGAATCCTCTTTGTTGGTAAGTCAGATAAAAGTGTTGAAAAAAAGGACAGAAGACTGTCTATTAGGATTCAACTAAATTTCTCAAAGGGGGACATTTCATGTCTCTGACTTTCTTTTAACCTTTAGCATCATTCATAAGGAAGACTCCTTATGATCCCAACACCACTCAAACCTAAGTACGAACCAGCTGAATACTCTTTGATCCAGGGAGTGATTTTTGCATTCATTCAGAAATACTGTAGTAGCTCTTATTCCTTTTTTAGCAGAATATGTTTTCCAGAATCGATCGATTTGATGCTGGTACATACAGTAACATGTTCTTAATGAATGTGTAGGAGGTGTTGGTAAGAAAAAGAAACAGTGACTTTGTTTTTCACTCAGTCCTAAATAAGGTCCTAGCTATGTGATTTCTCCCTCACACCTGTTATCTGTTGACAGATCTTCACTTTCTCTCTTTTATTTAGACGTTGAGTTCTTTCTATTCCTGTGTTCTAATTGAATTATACCAATGAGTTGATAATTGCAACAAACTTAATTAAATGCACAAATAATCAGATGTTAATGATCCCTCTCCTCAGCTGATCATGTAACATGTTCTCTGCAGATCCATCAAAAGCTGTGCGTAACGACATCACTGGAAAGTACAGCGAACGCCTCTTCACCTATGACCCAAAAGACATGGGACTTTGTAAGTGACTTTCCTCCCTCTCTTATGACAGTTTGGGGGAGATAGGAAGTTGGTAGCACCCGTCAGCAGTGTATTAGTGGACTTGCGCTGAGGAGGAGGAGGGAGAACTGTGGAGGTGTACACAATGTTTTATTCTCCCCACATCCTTTTGTCTAATTTTGAGACTTAAGTTTTTGTTGTTGGGGCACTTTAAGGAACTGAGGAAAATAGTGACATGTTATAAATTCTTTGGAAATTATTTGAGCCAAGTGGTAAAAAATTAATCCAATGAGCATGTGCCAAAAACTAGACATTCCTCGAGTGTCCACTTAAGGCAAGCTCCAAAAGGGGATGTCTCATACACACCCAATCTTGAAATGTCAATTTTGACAGCAGAAATGTACATGTTAACAGCCTGGTACAGGACACCATCTGTTCAGGGAGAGGTTTCCTTCAGTCACGAATCTGTTTTAATTATATTAGGGAGTTACTCATAATAAGGGGCGTGACTGACAGGCAGCTTGTTGTACCCGTTCGTCAGGAGGCTTAAAGCACATCTCAGCTCCAGCTCTATACCTGTCACTGAAAGTTAGTTTGAGACAGCATTTCCAATATGACACCCACCACTGATGGGCTTCAAAAGTCTGCTTCAGAAACCAACGCGTGTGACATCGCTGAGACTACGTCCATGTATAAACAGTCTATGATTGTAGAATAACAGATAACATGTCTACATACCAGTGTGGCTGTTTGGCACTGCTGGTGAGTGAAAAATAAACTGGTGGATTTCTCAAAGTTCCCATGAAACGGACCTTCAAAAGCGTTTTAATTGGTTGAACAATTAGTAAACGTCCCTGAGTGCAGGATGAGTCATTAGACATTTGAAACACACAACAAGAAGAGAAAACATGATTATTTTGATGTACAAATACTCAGATAATTTATTGTAATATAATACACAGATAATGGCAGATAAATAAACATTTAACTCAGGAACACCAGAATGTATCTTTCATTCAAGGGGACTTTAACAAAACAAATGCACAAAAGAGGAAAAATACAAGGCTCCCATCCAGGTAAATAAGTATAAAGCAAATAAACTCAAAATTAACTTGAAAGAAATACAGCCTCAGCAGAAGCTGCTGCAAGCAAGACAAGGTCTTATCAAACTTGTCAAACGAGGATGTAATTTCAATAACGAAAACTTTCCTAAAAGGAGAGGAGAGGAGAAGCAACTTCAAGACCTTTATCTAAGTTCAGTTGTCTTTTATATTAAGCCCTGAATCTCTTAAAAAGTAGCAGAAGAGGAGCAGGGTTTAGCCAGCATATATAGACTTATCAAGCAGTGTTCGCTTACTGCTCCTTCAGATACCTTTTGCTAGATTTAAGCAGAAGAATACTAAATTGATTTCACATAAGTTTGAAAGGGCATTTTTGCATTTCACAGTGAACCTTTTTGTTGGCAAAGAAAACAGTCCATGGCATTTCTTCTGATTATCTTATTTTTTTTCCCTCTTTCCACAGTGGCCAAAAACATGAAAAAAGCCAAACTCCTGATGCACAGTGAACTCTAAACAGGCTCCACCTGGCAATTGGATTCTATCTATCCTTCAGCAATGCTGGGCTCCATGCTCATTGATCAGCACAGGAATGGAAACATCTTGTTGAGAGCTCAATAAAATAATTATTAACTAAAATAATTATTAACTAAAATAATTGTGTCCAATAATTGTGTCCAATTTTTTTACACCATAAAAATCTTGCTGATGGAAACCTTGGGGTATTGAAGATTTTGTGAGCAGGGTGCTAAACTTCATGATTTGTCGTTTTTCAGTGACAAGAATACAATACTTTTATGATTTGTATATTTTAGAAGCTGACACTAAATTCATTCCTACATTTTTGTTCATAATAAAGCCAATTGGTACCAAAATAGTATCAAGAGCTTTTTCAAAACATTTCGCAACCTTTTATAAGTAACAGACTTATTTCGAGATGAGAAAAGCTGTTTCTTCTGCCGTCAGTTTTATTTTTATTAGATTTAAGACTGGACTTTTAAAAATGAATAATAATTGATAAAAGTTCAAATTGATGGACTTGTACTTTGAGAACATTTCTGAGAGTAAATGGTAAATGGACTCACACACTGATGGCAGAGGCTGCTATGTAAAGTTTCCACCAGTATTAACTAATCCATTCATACACATTTCCAAGTTGCTGATGCAGCAGCGAGAGCAACTCGGGGTTCAGTGTCTTGCACAAAGACATTTCAAACATGTTGACTGCAGGAGCTGTGGTCCTTGGTCGAGAGACTCTACGACTGAGCCTCGGCTGCCCTTGATTTCTTCCTCAGAGAAACTGGATGAAGGGGTTCAAAAACAAATAATTGATACTCACTGACGATGGCTTTGTAGAAGCAAAGTTCTGTTTTGTAAATGTCTAGCAGGAAAGTAAAGTCTTAAAACTTATGAACAAGAAAATGAAACAAAACCATCCCAAAATGATATGTTTCAACCACTAGAGGGCAGCATAGTATTGATGTCTTAAGATGCTCTGGCTCTTTCCACCAATCATTTTCATAATAATCATGTCGACTAGGATATACTTTAAGTTTAATTACTTATATTGCATGAAGATGGTTAAGTTTGAAGCATAAGCAATTGTACTCATGTCCCATAGAAACGACACAGTAATCTTGCATTGTATGGATTTTTGAAAAACTGTTCAGTGAAAAATTGAGCGGTTTGTTTAGGATTATTTGTAGCACGATGAGATTCTCGCTTATGTTTTTGCATTTGATCAAAAGTCCCTGAACAGTTGTCCAAAGACGTACATTTGTCCTCAGGTTGAATCTAGGTTTCTCTTGCTGTTCTTCAGTTCATCCGTGATTACTGTGAAACAGAAACATCTCTAAATAACTCAGTCCTCCACAGAATGGGCCAATGCTGAACTGCCACAAATAGCCTTTATGCAGTTTACTGCTGTCGTAGCTACGATTAATGAGCTCCTTTTAATTGTTGTTATCCCACTGTGGTGAGCATGTTGTGCCTTCACCTCTTGAAGTAAAAAGTACGCTGACTGGGCACTGGTACACACATAATATATCAGAACGGGTGACTATTCTGCAAACTTGCAACTGCAGTCTTAGCTCTCAACCAAAAAGCCTTATTAGAGCTAATAAGATGCATCCTCCAACCTAATTATTTTACATTTCTTTGAAACAAAAACATTTGAAATAGGTCAGTAATCTAAATTTCCTTGGTGTTATATCTCTTAACATCTACTGAGAAATGTTTGAATTATTCAAACATCTCCTGCATTTGCTTTTTTTTCCCTGTCAGCGCAGATATCTGAAGCTATTGTGTTCCTGCTCTCCTCTCATGTTTTTCAGATTTCTTTCTTTCAGGTGGACCCAAGATGATTCTGCAGAAACTTCTGCAGAGATTTTCCCAACTTTTTCCCAAACTAATTTTCTCCAGAAATAGGTTTCATGGGCTTACACTCCTGGGTTATTTCAGATGTGTGTGTTTTTTTTTTTTATACCCTGTCCAACTCACCGCAGAGCTGTTTTAGAGCTCTGTGAAAGGAATTTGCAGCAAGACGCATTTCATAAACTCATTCCTCCACAAGTTGTCAGATCACTTCACAATTTTAAAGCACAGTATGCCTACCATTAAAAACAAACAACTTATAGCTTTATTCAATCATCACATAACTGTCAGGTTTCTCTTGAATGTGAGGCTGTTGTTCCACCTGCTGCCAATCTGAAGGTGTCTTTTTTGAATCAAACCGGATCCCAGAGTACCAATCTCCTGTTTCCAGTCCTAACCTTGAACAGAAGTCTGGAGGGGACTGTTTGGGACTTCAGTATCACATTTCGGAGGTGTTTCGTTTGAGTCACACACCCACTGAAGGGCAGAATGAAGGTGTGCTATCTCACAAAGTCAGATAAATATGCAGATAAAGCCATCACAGTGTAAAGGAGGTGATGCTGTCTTATAAACTGCATGGTCATTTAAAACAGAAAAACACACAACAAAGGTTCATTTTGCAAGTTGTTGTTTTTTAATCTTATTTACTATACGTTTTATTTAAAAAGGTAGGTATAGTTCAATGAGAATATCTTCACAACAGTGTCTGGGTCTGACCTCTAAATATAAAGCTACAGGCAGGAGACTGTTAGCATAGGTTAGCATAAAAAGTGTAAGTAATGGGAAACAGTTAGCCTCTGTCCAAAGGTAACATTATCCACCTGTCAGAAACTCTTTAGGTTACTAATAAATACACATCATTTTGTGTATTCTACTCAACAAAAACTTAAAAGAAAAAAATGCTATCATAGTTTTTTAAAGTGTGCTGGACTATTTCCTGTCTGGAAGAAGTGACTATCTGGAATATAACTTATTAGAGGTACAGAGTAGAGACAATCTTCATAATAATCTCATCAAACTCTCGAAAAGTGACAATTTACTTTTTAATATTTTGAACTATTCCTTTTGAAGAAGAAAAAAAAAGGAAAAGATATACTTTAATAATTCCCAAGGGAAATTACTTTTTTTTAATTTTATTTTTTTGCTTTGTTTAGGAACATGACACACACACACACACACACACACACACACACACACACACACACATACAGACCACATACTTTAATGCACATGCAGGATCCAATGGACATTCACTAATGGATGGATATGAGGAGGCTGCACAGGGATCGGCGCCTCGGGCAATTGAGGGTCCGATGCCTTAATCAAAGGCACCTCATGCAGGGTGCTCAGAAAGAAAACCTCTCCAGCAACCACTCGTAAATTCCATCGTCTGATGGTGACTGTAGGAAAGTGATGTATTTGTCTCTGTTTATGTTCATCACACAGTCCTCTGATCAAATTCAACTTTGCCTGACTGGGAGTGGGGGCTGCCTGAACCCTTGAGGCAGATGTTAGTGCCATGCAAAAAAAAAAAAAGATTCCTAGTTTGAATCCTTGGCCGGGCAGGGACCTCCCAGTATAGATGATCTAACTGCTCCAGAGACACGCTCTCTAGGTTGATTGGTGACTCAAACTTCCCCCAGAGTGTGAATGTGACTGGTTGTTCGCTCTCCATATGTCAGCCCTGTGATCAACTAGCGACCTGTCCAGGTTGTACCTCGCCTCTCTCCCAATGTCAGCTGGAATTGGCTCCATCCGCTGTGACCCTGATCTGGATAAGTAGTATGGTTAATGGCTGGATGGACAGACTGGTATTGTAGTGAAAATAGCTCAATTTGTCTGTTAGACACCTGACACTTGAGTTAATGCTAAACTAGTCTCTCACAAATCAACCTGTCCCTAGATATGAGAATACCAAATCATTTCATTTCTCTTATTAAAGGCAGGAAAAGTTGGGTTGCCGTGTCATTTACTTCTCCGAAAAAAAAGTACAAAGAGTAAAGATGCCTTTTACATACCGCTGACTCTCACTGAAGGAAAATGGAAGTAACACCGAAAAAATTCACAAGCTATCATTGGGCAAGGATAAGCGTGGACGGCTGTTACATTCAAAAATTGTCCTCTGGCAACTTTCCGAGAAAAAATGAACGGCAAATTGGACATTGCACTTCACAAACAAATTAGGAACACAGACATTTAGGACAACACTATTACGGAGCATGCTATCAGACACACACACACACACACACACACACACACACACACACACACACACACACACACACACACACACACACACACACACACACAATCTCAGGTCCAAGATTCTTCAGTTTGACTTTGGCGGTGGAGCCGTCTGTGACAAGGGCACTGAGCTATTAGTCGTCGTTTGCACACGGCTCAGACAATTTAGCTATTCAAATAGAGGCGCTTACAGGAAAACAGCTCCTTAATGAAGAGGTGGCTGGGTAATATGGCATAAATCTATTCTTTTATTCTTCCCACACATTTAGAAATACACACTGCCTGTATGCTTATAGAACCATTATGTACCTACGCATATGAAATCTTAAGCACATAGTTTTACACACACACACACACACACACACACACACAC